GTGCTGTAGGCCAACATACCCAGGGCGGACCGGACAGACCGAAGGCCCAGCGAGCGGTCCGGATAGGCTGAAGGCCCCAAGAGGGCGGTCTAGACGTGCCGAGGCTCGGAGAGTGGGCCAGACAGACTGAAGGCCCGGTGCGGGCGGACCAGTCATATTGTAGACTCAGAGGGTGGACCAGGTGGATTGAAGGCCCGGTGCGGGCGGACCAGTCACACTGTAGACCCGATATGCATGGCTGCTCTGTATTGTGATATGATATGATATGACTATGGTTGTATGTGATTGGTATTTTGGGGGAACTCACTAAGCTTTCGGGCTTACAGTTTCAGTTTATTGTTTCAGGTACATCAGGAGATCGTGGCAAGGCAAAGGCGTGATCGTACCGCTCCTCATACTTCATGATTTTGTGATTTGGTTCTGGGGATACTCTGATGTTTAAACTATTTTGAAAACAAGTTGTAATAACTTAATGGTTTTTTAATGGGTTAAAATGTTTTAAATTGGCTTGAATTTTATGGTCGTTACATTAGGGTTTTACCTGAAACCCTAACAGCTCAGCTATATAAGGAACCCCCTGGATCACTAAATCGGGCACTTGAACCCTAAGAAGGAGTACCGGCCGATTTTTAGAGCCTCTCCTCTCTCTCATATTCTTCCAACTTGTTCTTGGTGTTTATGACTCACTAGAGGTGCAACATTTGAGGCACTAAGCTCTTAAAGGTCAACATTAATCAAGCTACAATCAAAAGGTATTCATATAACTTTGTGTTAGTTGTTAATTTCGAAAATTGTATGCTAGTTAGGGGCTATGCTTTGGATGTTTAGTATTGCATGTATAACTTGAGAAAAACCTAGATACAAAGCATTAGGGTTGCATGTACACCATAGGAATGATGTAGTGCTCATAACCCATCAGTTTCTAGCCATGGTGTGACAATCTATATCGTCTTGGATCGAGTTGTTCGGTTTACTTCTAGGTTTTGGAAGAGGTTCCACGAGGAGTTGGGTACTAGACTTCATTTCAGTACAGCCAATCATTCGTAGATAGATGGTCAGAATGAGCGTATAATTCGGATTCTGGAGGATATGTTGAGAGCCTGCATCTTGTGTGCTATGTTTCTAGATCTAGGCTTTTGGACACTTTCTCCATGATTAGGATAGTTTGGACGGATGGATTCCATAAAGTTGACAACTTTATGGGTCCTTGAGGTCCCCTTGTGGTTATATGTTCCAGAAGTGAAGTTTAATAGAGTTTTAATGTCATGCATGAGGTTTTGGCCTCATTTTTCACCATTTTAACCTAGATTGAGCTCAAGACATGCATTGGACATGCATGTATATAAATCAACGATTTTTATGATGCTATGGGTGTAAGAAAGTCTTATGGAATGTATGAATGTGTAGATTCAAGGATTAAGAGTTTAATGCATTAAGCTGGCTAGAGTAGTCTCCACGACGTGGAGATAGGAAGTCTTTGTGACTATTTTGTCGAGAGGACACCACAACGTGGTAGAGACTTGGCCACGCGGTGGTGGTAATCTGATGGACTTTTGACCATTGACCATTGACTTCTTGACCAAGTTGAGTTTTGGTCAACTTGAGGGTTTTTGGGCTATAAATTGAGGATGGGACTCTATTTGTGATATAGGTGGCTCGTAGTACTAGTTTTGGATGCGTGAGAGCTGTGTTATCTATCGACTAGTCTGCAAAGTGAGTTTTATCACTATACTTTGTATTGTAGTATGTATGCTTGTGTGTAGGATGTTGTTATGCTGTAGTGATCTGTTAGACTGGTAGATTTGCTATGATTACCTATGTTGCTTGTTATTGTTTATGTGAATATGTCGAGATATTGTAGTTGGGTTGAGACGATCTCGCTTGGTGCTGTGGGGTACTTTAGATGTTGTTATGCTGTAGTGATCTGTTAGACTGGTAGATCTGCTATGATTACCTATGTTGCTTGTTATTGTTTATGTGAATATGTCGAGATATTGTAGTTGGGTTGAGACGATCTCGCTTGGTGCTGTGGGCCAAGATACTCGGCGATCCAGGTGTACCGTAGGCCTTGCGAGGCGGTCCAGTCAGACTGTAGACTCATGTGTGCATGCATTGTATGTGTATTGTTGTGTGGGGTATTTTGGGGAACTCACTAAGTTTTGGCTTACAGTTGTGGATTTAAATGTTCCAAGTACTTTAGATGATCGGGGGAAGGCGAAGGCGTGATCGTACACATCATCCTATGGTTTTTATGTTGAGAGATGTTATTTGATACTCTAATTTTTATGACTATGTTTTGGAAACTATGTTGTATGACTTATGGTTTTTATGAAAATGGCTTTTAAAAATCAAAAATTTGACTATGGTTTTTGGGACGTTACAGGAAGAGATTGCATGCAGAGATGGGTACAAAACTTTTTGTGAATACCTATTACTACCCACATACGTATGGACAAAGTGAGGGAAATATAAACATTAGAGTATATGCTTTAAGTATTTGCATTAAAGTTCTCTTGTAGCTAGTTAGCCACCTTCTACAGATGAAATTCGCTTACAATAATAATTGCCAACCAAACATTTGAAATTGTGTCTTCATCCTTTCACTAATAACCTCAGCGTTTTCTAAGTAGTTCTTGCACACAATCAAGGGATTATCCTTTCTATAACTTTCATTTTCGTTACAAACAAAAGTGTTGACTGTCGTTTTGTTGGCTAGGAGTCGGGAAATACGGTATGTGGGATTGATGTCAGTGAAACAGATGACCAATAAAGTGAAAGTGGTTCGGGAAATATTGTTATCTAAAGTAGAGTCCTATGTATTTTGATGAGGTTGATCGGGTTTTGGTGTACATCTCTATGTAAAGGACTATATCAATTTGGAAAGGAAGAGAATCTGAGTTCATGATTGAGTGGTCATTTTACAAGGCTATAGAAATTGGAGAAGAAACTTATAAACTTGATTTACACCTGAGTTGGACGACATGCATGATATATTCTATGTGTGTTATCTAAAGAAATGTCTCGGTGAGGAAACTGATGTGATTCCACTTACACATCTAAAAGTGGACGAGGGGAAGCGATCTTGTTGAAGAGCTTGAATCGATTATCGAGCGCAAGACAAAAAAATCAGAAGACAGAGATTAAAGCGGTTCTCGTGAAATGGAAGCATAATGCGGGACCAAACCTTACCTTACCTTGGAGATGACGAAAAAGACGAAAGTACATTCTTATTTTTTCACGACGAAGAGAATCCCAAGAACGGAACCGTACTAGCCGGTGTGGGGGAGATTTCTAACATTAATTAAAGTATTTTATAGTGTTTTAAAAACCGGTTTGAACCGGCCGGTCGAACCGGTTGGACCGGGAACCAGTGGAGAGAGCGGTTCAATTATCACCGGTTCTACGTCGATTTCTAAACCGGATTGAACGGATCGGTTTTTAGAAAATTCCGGTTGAACCGGTCAAAATAAACCGGTTAAACCGAATAAAAATATATGGAAAAGAATCATTTGCATAATAAACTTTGATGATTTTTTTCAAATTTATTTAGTTTTCACTAAAGAAAAACATATATTAAATGTTATAAAGTTTTGTGATGTGTTTGTATTCATCTAAAACTATATTTTGTTTCGATATTATACTTTATTTTCTTTTTGACGTATATGGATTGATGTAAAACACTAAAATTTATGGTTATGTGTTATTTTAATGTATTTGAATTGTATTCATCTAAAACTATATTTTGTTTCGGTATTATATTTTTTTTTTCAAATCCACAACTTATTTTTAATGTTTGAACTTATAAACGTCAAAATCATGATTTATATATGTATGTATAGAAAAATAGAAAAAAAAAAAAGATGAAAATTATAGAAACTGATTAACTCGTCGGTCGAACCGGTAAAATCGAATGAACCGGGAACCGATCAACATATCGATTCAACTAAAAAACCGGTTTTTAGAAAATTGGTATTTTAGGCCTTTGGATTTAGTCAACATATGCTTTGCTTGTATTTTGATTTTTGATGTTTGATTGGATGTCCTTCGTGTGACGTGTAACATTTCTTTGGAGTTCTAAACATATTTAAATTATTTGATACTTTACCAATATCTAGAAATTATTTTCTTTCAAAATATAATACTAGTTAGAGAGAGAAAACTTCCAACACTGAATTCTATTGCAACAACGATTGCTAGCTCAGTTATTCTTATTCCCCTTAGACAGCTGTAACACAAACGAAAGCTATGTCTGGAATTCTTGATACCAGAAAGTGGTAGTGATATGATACACTAAAAATCAAGATCCATGCATCCACTTTCCTTCAAAATGTTGCTTTTATTAGCATCAAAAAACTAAGAATCTGGAATCCTATATATATATATATATATATCTATATATATATATATATTATATATATATATATATATATATATATATATATATATATATATATCTTACGTTCAAGATGACATAGTGTTGGTCTAATATATATTAAGACAAAATAGTACCAGATGATGAGTTACTTTAATGTTGATCAATGGGGTCCATCGAGTTTTTCTTTTTCTTGGGGACTACCCCTTCTTTGTCTGATAAAGAGACTAGTGTCATGTTCACAGTGTTTCTTCCCTTTGATCTCTTCTATATGTATTCTGCAAACCATTATCATTATAAAATTACAACTAGGTACCAAAGGTTTTTGGAAGTCACTAATTGACGTTCTTATTGCTCAGAAACAAGATACTATTTCAGGGTTTTCCTGTTTATCTCATAATTATTTCTCTTTTCTGACTCTGATTCCTGAACTGGATTTGCACAAAATCCAATGTGTAATTCCAAGATCTAGAGTTAGGAATGGGAAGGTTAACAAGGGCCCCTTTGAAAAGTTCTCCGGTGGACCCAAACTAAATCTAAAGAAACAACGTTTATCGAAGTTGTGTTTTTTTTTTCTTTATGTTTTATTTATTTGACATAAAAGAAATGGCTTGCAGTATTCCATCTATAAAGAAAGGTGGCACTCTTACCTCCCATGTTAAAAGAAAATCCCATACTTTGTCTCTCTTCTTCACCACCACCACCACCTTGGCTCTGAAATCTGAATTGTATATGAGGTGGAGGGTGGCGTTATTCTTACAACATTAAAAACATGATTGGGAGAAGGGTTTTGAAGGGATAATTAGAAGATAGAAGAGAGTGTGATGGGTAGGGTGGTTTTCAGAGCGGTTTTGTTGGTGGGATTTTGCTGGTTTTTGTTGTTTGTGGTTTTGAAAACCGATGAACTTCCATCTAATCCAAGTTTTGGTGGTTTTAAGTCAAGTTATAAAGCAAGGAGAGATCAAGAAGAGGGTTTGGTTTACGTGAGCAAGAGAAGAGTGCCCAATGGACCTGATCCTATCCACAACAGGTATTAGAAATATAACGTTGTATTCTTATACGTATCATTATATATAAATTTTAAACATAGTGATGTATTTGCATGTTTTAATGTAGTGTCGTATCATGATATATATATGTTTGGTTAATTTCAGGAGAACGAGAAACACAAGACAGCCTCCTGATCGAGCCTAGAAAAGCTTAGAAGAATCGTGTATATGGGTTATGTTTGATAATGGAGCTAGGTGATGCATGTTCATTCTTGAAAGAAAGAAAGAAAGAAAAAGAAAGAAAAAAGGGTGAAGCTTTTTTAAGGTATTTGATGGGTGTGTGTTTCTTTTCTGTAAACTTTGAATTCAAAGATTCATGGATCGATTGAGATGTTTGCTTTTGCATGAACTTTGAAGATTTTAAAAAAGAAAAAAGAAAAAAAAAAAAGGAATGTATTAATTAGGATGAGATGAGAGGGATGCATCAATGTCGAGGGTCCCTTTTTGCAAACATATTTTTGTAGGTGGTATGGTATGTAAAGATGAATTTATTTTGCTTTAATTAGCTTTCAATTCAAGGGGTTGGCTTTATTCCTGTTGTTAGGTTAAGTGGGTGGGTTGGGTTCCCTAAAAAAAGCATTTTGCATCTGTTAAAGCTTCTCTTCTTTCAACAAATCTTCTTTTTTGATCAAACAACTTAAAGCATTCAAAGATACGCTTTTCATCACACATTTTATGCCCTTTCATGACACCCCCTCCCTCCCTCTCATATAATTGCATTGTACACTCTCCTTTACATAACCTACCTCCTTTAAATAACCTAGCTGACCCTTAACTTTTATGGTCTTCATCCCCTTAATTAAAGAAGCCCATAGGTGCACCTACACACCTATCAAAACATTTATGAGTGCAAACCTAAATATCAGTAGGTTTGCACCCTTTACCCAAAATCAGCAGTTTGCAATCACTACTGATTGTGGTGCAAATCTACTATCAGTATGTATGCCTGCACCTATTTAGAACTTGTGTGTAGTTTTGGTTTGTGTTTTTGACGATAATCATGATGCATGCATGTCCACAGTCCACAGAATATTCGGTGGACATGCATCCACTTAGAATTAGACACGTGGAATCTTGTTTGCGGTTTGCACAAATAAATGATAAGCGATGTGCATGGAAATCACTTTTGGTACATCCTTATAATATCAAATATTTATAAGACTATCATAAAATTAATGTAATTTCATTTTCATAAAGGCATAATCATAAGTAGAATATATAATAGGAAACAAAATGCCAAATTTGTTTGAATCTACTCTACCACCATTTTTTTTATTATACACTTTCTAATATTTATAAGAGAAATAAAAATCAAGGGTCAATTAAACGTTTACCAAATACGGATCAAATAATAGCCAATTGAATTTGTTGTGAGAGAAAGAGAAAGGTACGATAAATATAGTGGGTTTTGTAGAATTAAAAACAAATAAAATGACTGTCATATTGTCCTATATGGGCTTGTTAGTTTATTTTTTTTATTTCTTTCCCATCTTTATCCTTTTATTATTTATATAATTATTATTATTTTGTTTTTAACTTTTATGCGGTTTGATTTTGAATGTTTCAAGAAACAAATAGTACACTATTTTCTTAAAAGTAAACAAGATTCAAATTTTAAAGGTACCTTTTGTTTCTTTAGGTTGCATGCATGACTCTTGACTCGTACAAATACAATTTAATTACCTTCCCTTTAGTCAGTCTCTAATTTCTTACTTCACTTCACTTCCCTTCTCCTCTAAGTTAATGTGTTTCACTTTTACTTTTTGATTATTAAATAACAACAATCTAAATTTTGTATTTTTATTTTTAACTCACCAAACTTAAATATATGGTTAATTCCAAAAAGACTTTCCATTTTGACTCATTTTCTTTGAAAAGGAATACAAAAAATCCAATCAAAACCCAAATTCTAAAGTTACCTTTTGATTTAGCATTTTTAGATGGATATCAAGTTTCATTACATTTTTTGCTTATTTCAAAGTTGATATTCCACCATATCATCACTTTGAAAGAAAAGAATAAAGAGTTGTTTGGTAAATCAAGTTGAATGTCGAACTAAATGATTAAAACCTCTTAATGATTAAGGAAATATAAAATTGTTTATCGGCTCAGAAGCAAACATTAACACGGCTTTTGATTCGTTCAAAAGTTGAACTTGAATTAACTGTTGTACTGAATGCTAACCGATTCAGCGATAATGGTTCCATTCGGAGAATACCAAATAGCTCCTGAGTGTGTCATGTGTTTGAATTTTAATTGAAAAAAAAAATTGTTTTTTTTTCTCAAAAAAGATGTCAAAATGTAATGTTTTTTTTGAAATTAACCTAAAAATTATCTATCAAAACTTGTTCATAACCCTAGTTTTAAATTATCTAGCAACATGGTGAAGGAAATCAAGAGATTGCGGAAGGGTAATTTTTGTGAATTGAGTAGAGGGGAAAAGTAGAAAATGTTTTCTTTTTGGAGTTTGTCTTTTTTGACTTCTTTTGAGAGTGACCTTTATCATAAATGAACTTTAGGACTCAAGCACTATCTAATATCTATCTATACACATTCAGAAGCACGCTCGCTGAAGATCACCTTTGAGACAAAACCCATGGGTGCTTCACTTCACTTTTATGTTGTGTTTATTTCATGGCTTATGACGGAATTCAGATCTATGGATTTCTTTCAAATTCAAAATGTTTGATGGATTTGGAATTCAATTTCATATACTTCTTATCCAAAAATAGAAGAGTCATGTTATATGTATATTGAAATAAAACTGTATTGTGAGTTTATATGCTCATTCTATCTTAAAAATGGATAAGATAAATAAATTTTTTAATTATATAGTTTTACCATAGATAAAAGTATTCAAATTTAAATAAAAGTTCAAAATTTGTTTAGCTTTGCATTGATTTGTTTATAATAGCATCCTCCCATTTTTTTTCCTATTACAAAATTGTAACTTAATATATCTAACAAGAAAAAGTAATTGAAAGTACTATGTTAATTGGGTAAAGTGTTCTAAGTATAATGCCTTAATATAATTTTGTAATAAAATAAATGAATAACCAAGTATTCCTAATTTTTACTCTAGGTCCCCCAACTTATAACTATATTTCAATTTAGTCCTTCTATCCAATTTTAACCTATCTAAACCATTGATATTAACACAAACAATAATCACAAATTCACAATTCACAGCCAAGTTGATATAATCAAAAACAACGTACAAATGCAAGCAAGAATGTACCTCTATGGATTCAATCACATGTGGACTCTGTAGAAGACTTACACCTTGATGTGTAAAAAGCTGCAAAGAAAGCTCTAAAGAAACAGATTTAAAATTTTAAATATTAGCTTGAACATAAACACCAATGGAATTATATCATACAGTTATATTTGATAAACATCAAATGTATCAAAACAGATAGCAAAAATATAGAGTAGATAATTTACAATAACAAAAGCTTTTAGTATACAACAAACAGATATCACAAAGTTTTCATTCATGGCTTGGTTTGACCGAAATGGTAAAGTCAACACATCTCCCAACAGCTCAAACAATCGCATCCATGTCATGTGTGTTAAAAAGAAGTGGAAACTCATCATAATGTTGAGACAAACCTGGTTCTTGAGATATCTTACTCAACATTTCAGAAACTCGATACATTGACAATCTCACTTGAGGTTCAGAAGCAACACAATCACCTGCAATTTTAAGAACTTGAAGAATCTCATCATCATGACCTCTGCCAACAAGATTCTTGTCTATGGTGTCCTTGATTCGTCCTGAGCTCGAGTGTTTGTTCACCCAATCGACTAAATTACCTTTATACCCTTCTTCAGACGTAATGACTTCAAGGGGTTTCTGCCCTGTTGCTAATTCCATGAGGACAACACCAAAACCATAAGTATCACCTTTCTCAGATCCATACTCATTACACAAGTCATTCTCATTTGTTTGATCAGAAGATGAGGTTAGAAGTCTAGCCAATCCAAAATCCACAATTCTTGCATCATAATCTTCATCAAGGAATATAACATCAGAGGTGAAATTTTGAAGCAAAATTGCAGGGCGACAACCATGGTGAAGCCAAGCTAGACCTCTTGCTGCACTTGAAGCAATTCTAAACCTTGTAGGCCAATCTAACAAGCTCCCGTTTTTATGCAATGCTGATGATAAAGTTCCATTGGACATGTATTTGTAAACCAGGAGTTTCTCTTCTTCAACTATGCAGTAACCTAATAAAGGAGTTAGATTAGGGTGTCTAAGTTGACCTAATCTGTTCATCTCCAATCGGAATTGTCTCTCGTGAAGCTTACATGTGTTAAGCCTCTTGATTGCAAGTGCAGAGCCATCTGAGAGAATGGCTTTGTAAGTTGTTCCTGTTTTGGTTGATATTATCACATTCTCTCTACTGAAATTGTTTGTTGCAATCATCAAATCAACGACTTTAACCTTCACAAGTGGTTTTTGAAACAAAGAAACCTGAACAAGCCTGTAGGCTCTTAACCTATCAGCCCAGCTGTTGCTATCATCATCTCTATCAATACCATTCTTTCTCTTCCTCATTGATTTAGTAGAGCACCACCACCATAGCCCAAACCCTAACAGTAATGACCCCACTGCTCCAAGAACACCGGCTGCAATGATGATTACAAGGTTCTTTTTGCTAAGACTACCACACTTTGTAAGAGGCTTACCACAGAGTCCATTATTCCCATCAAAATTCGAGGAGTCAAAATTGGACAACCCCGGTGGAATAGAACCAGAAAGATCATTGTCGGCAACTGAAAACCTGTTCAACCTGCCTAAACTGGAGAACTGAACTGGTATACTACCAGACAACTTATTTCCCGAGAGAACGATACTGTTGAGAAACGAACAATTACCGAGACTCGCCGGAATTTCTCCGGTGAAGTCGTTGTTTGACAAATCTAAGCTAACCAAATAAGGCAACCAGGTACAAATTTCGCTAGGAATAGAGCCAGTAAGATTATTACCGGAGAGATCCAGGTTCTGTAAGCTCCGACAGAACTGTAAATCCGAAGGAACTGATCCGGCGAGTCCAGCGTCACGAAGTGTGAGCGTAATTACACGATTCTCCTGATCGTTCCAGCAAGTAACACCGAAGAAGCTGCAGATGAAACCTATAGTAGTGTTGGAAAAATTCCACGTAGAGAGCGTCGATCCTGGTTCGTGGGTCGATTTCTGAAGACCTCGCAAGCACTGGACATCATCCTCCGCGACGACCGACGACGACTCGATATGTAAGAAAAGCAGAAACGTGATTAACAACACGGTGGAGAGAATACCTCTGAAACAGTTCATTGAGCGAGCTAGGGTTTTGTGATCGGAATTTCAGAAAATTTCCGATAAATTATGGCGGAGGGAGGACGCTAGAAAAGCATTGATTGACTTATTGGGGCAGGAATTCTGCAATTTTGACTTGAAGGTCGTTTGATTGGCGGGTTTTAATCGATTCAACTCGGATTGGGGAGTAATCAAGTGTTTTACCAACCAGGTATGGATACGTTGAATTCCACGCGCTTTAAAATATCAGCCCTCGGAATGACTAATACCACTGGTCGTCGTTTCGGACCTTGATGATTATATTTGTTAAAACTTAAAATATAAATATACTACTATTTCTTTATAAATTGATTCATCTATTTGACATATATGTTTTACTGCAAAAGTGATGTGCAAAGGTGTTCGTAACTAATATAAATGAATTAAATTATTAAGTGAAAATATCTATGATGGTATATACATCATACTACATTATCAAAATAATTTATTTTAAAAAAAAAATAATTAATTAAATAATATTTTTTAATTAGTTAATGAAATAAAAATACAAGATTTTAATTAAAGTTCAAAATTACATTGCTTAAAAAAATCAAAAAAATACAAATAAAAACAAACATAGAAAAAAAATACCAAACATTGAAAAATAGAATTACATATTTCTATATTTTTATAGGATGTTTCACTTCACCGCAAAAAATATTACTAGGTCATTTCCTCATAATTTTGGGCTTTCATCTTCAACATTTTCAAATCATTCTTTTATTGTTTCCAAGTTGCGTTTCTTTATACTCTTTTTTGCTTCTTGAACTGAAAGTTGCCTTCTTCATTTTATTTCTTCCTACCAGCCGACGTAGGGGTTCTTCTGCTTCAAGGTCATCCAATTTGTCGTTGATGTCAATAAATGTTCGTCCGCCCGATTGTTATGAGTGGCTACGTGATTGGGATTTCCTCGAACGCTTCGAACCGGAAGAATCTGACTCTTTGAACCGTATGCTCTTGAGGTTGATGTAAATCTCGTTGAATTCGGTTATATTTAACCTCATAGCATCGTGTTGATGTAATTTAGTTGGTCGTCTAATAAGCACCTTGCTTCATTTGGTCATGAAAGATGTTTCAAACCGTTTCCCAAAATGTTTCTCCCGCTTATGTATTTCCTTTGATTGGGTCTTTACTAGCTGAAATCCAAGCTTTTGGCTAAATTGGTTTCTTCTTTTTTCATCTAATTTCTCGATCTTGTTGGAATGGGTTTAGGCTTTTTTTTTTTTGCCATTTTTCTTAGATTGTTTTGGTTGCTCGAATTGTGTTTCATGTACTTCAGCGGGAGAATCCAATGTCAATCGTGATTGCAAAAGTTGTGGTTACAGAAATTATGGGTGCACGAATATTGTTGGTATACTAAAGCGGGTGGTTGGAAATAATTTTATTGTGGAAAATGATGTTGGAAAAGTTGCTATTATGGGATAGGAGAGCTTTGGAGCAAGTTCATGAAACCACCTCGTGGTGAATGAAGAGTGTAGAACTCGTAAATCAATTCATGGTAATGTAAAAATAAAGAACAAAAATGTAAATAATTATGTTTAAGTTCAGATTGATCAGGAATGTAGTTTGGTTACAATTAATAGCTCAAATAACGAAAGTGTTACGAGCGTGTAAAAACCGATACTCTCTAACCAAACCTACAACACTAAATATAAACACAGCTAAAGTGGTATCGACTAACCACAAAAAGATACACGGGCTAAAACAAAGACGTGTATAAATAATGTCTTGTATGATAAAAATATATATCGAAGTAATGACACTTCATTACTTCTTCAAACTTCTTTTCAACTAGATAAGTAGACTCCGGGTATACAATCTATACTTCGACACTCTTCACAACTTCGACAACTCTACAATCTCCCCCTCTGTGAAGTGTTAATAATATCCTAAGTCACTTTTAAATTAGGCACAATGTTGAGAAGGACTTTCCGAACTTCCAAATACCATGTAATCAAATCATGCATCTCCTTTTTATCATTTTCTAAGTTGAGAATGTATGTGTAAATTTGGACCAATGGATTTTGAAGATGGGAAGTTGGAAACGTCGCTATATAACCCACATAAAAGAAAATTTTCTTGTAAGTACCTTTAACCTGTTGGATTAATGTCTAAGTCCATAACTATATTTGGTATGTACTTGACCCGACCCGGCATGGTCCATTTGGGTTGCACTTCACCGACACAATTTATATGGATAGTCTTTTGAGAATAGTATATTTATGATTTATATTAATATATTATAAGTTCTAATATATTAATATGGAATCATATTATTTAATTAGTATTGATCAAGAATTAATTTAGAATTAATTAAGTGATCAAAAAGAACTAATTAAATATGGACTCTTATATATATGGAATGGGCCAAGTTCATTTAGGTTGGGCTAAGCTTTCATGGATGGTCCATGGAGCTTTTAACCCATGGATCCTATGTAAATGAAAGGTCATGGGTATTAGGGTTTACATGGATGTAACCCTAATCCTCCATAATATATAAAGGGGTCCTTGGCTCACAAAATTGGCACAAGTGTGTGAAAATAAGAGTGGGCCGATTTTAGTGTGCATACATATTCTCTCAAGTTCTTCCAAGGTGTTTTGGTGATTTGTGATTCCATTTGAGGCTTCCACACTATTGGGGCTAAGCTCTTAAAGCTTGAAGACATCAAGCTACATCAAAAGGTATGTCATCTAACTAGAACTTTGTAGTATACGAAATTGGTGAATCGTCATTCACCTACCTTCAAATATTTTATAGCTTGGATTACGGCATCCCTCTTCCAAGTTATAAAATAGTTTGTTGGGTCCTAGCCTTAATATATCATATTGGGTGTTATATTAAGGACTTAAATCAACTTTACGTGAATTTCTCCCATTGTTGATGTCTGGTTTAGACAACAATGATCTTCCCAAACCAAGCTTTCCTAATGAATATGACTTCCCGAGTTTGGCTCATGGAAGTCATACTTCTCTTCCTCCACATCCTCCAATTATTCTCCCTAACCCACAAGTTCAAGGTCACTCAAGCCCTAATGGCAAGCAAGGTCTATGTGTGATCACATCTTAGAGATGAAGTCACATATTGACAAGCCGAGAGAGTTGGGTGTCAAAGTCTTGAGAAAGTTGGATGTTCAATCACTTTCTAAGTCACATAGTGAGTTCCTTTGGGACTACTATGAAACAAACTATGACATGAACCTTAATGATCATATCTATTTGCGTGGTGCTTCTGAATCAGCAATGATTTGGAACGATAGTAAAGCAAATTTGATTAGAAGATCAACTTCCCAAAAAACTTTATGGACAGTGACAATGGTAACACTGGAAATCCAGAAAAAGCATTCTCTTCCCAATGGAAAGGGATTGACCATAGTCAACCCGGTTGACCAAATGGTAAAGAGAAAGGCTAAGTCTGAGATAGTCCCATTACCAAAGGGTCCATATGTTTATTTTGCCAAAGGAATGGGCGTTAATTGCAAAGCTGCCAAATTTACCTAAGGATGTTAAAATCAATAAGTTTGACTCTACATCAGGTAGAGCCCATTATCTAACTCTGTTAAGTTCTATTCTGAGATCCTCATTACATGATGTGACTGGGTCACATGTTGATGTTTTAAGAATCAAAGAATAGAGAGAAATCTTAAAGGAAGTATATGCTGATTCTGATCGCGAAGGTGGATTTCGATCGCATCAGAATTTTGAGCAGTTGCTTAAGAAGTTATGATATATTGCTAAGGAATAGATAACAACAATTTTCCATGTGGATTGTAAGGATAAGTTTTTCCGCAAAGTTTTAAAATAAAAGAAAATTGTTTAATTTTGTTTATTTGAAGTATCCTTACAATGGCATTTGTGGAAAATTGTTGCTTATATGATTCCACTGACAGCAATATTGGAAAATGGATTTGATTCTTTCATTTGTGGTAGTGTATAAATTTACCAAATCAGGAAAGTTCCTCATCACCCAAGTTTCAATTGGACCGAAACTTAGAATCATGCAAGTTGAATAGTATGATGAATGAGAATTTTCAAGCATTGGAAAATCAAGACTAATTGCTTGTTCACATGGATGTGTGAGTCAAGTGAAGGACTAAAGGGATCGAGTACACATTCTTGTGCATTGGTCATGTCCACCACAAAGCTCGTTAAGACTATTTGATTTACTAAAGTTTAGTAAATATGGTTATACTTACAAGTTTAAGTATAATTCTGAAACATTGGAAAAGTCTCAATGTATGGCAGAACGAATGGGAAGAATCAAATTAGGCAGAAAGATAAAAGTTTCTCAAATCTGAAAAGATGGGAGAGTACTTTAGTATCATGTTTGTGATCATCTTAATGATTTAGAAATCATATCACAATTAGTCCTCTAAAGGTCATCTTAGTGCATTATTATGACTAAGAAGAGGAGTCATGAACTGTTGAAATGGTTAGATCAGGAAGATGAGTCATACTTCGTTCCAAAACAATTCTTAGAGTCATACTCCAAGATTGTAACTTGAGTGACATATCTTAAAGAAAGGTTTAAAACACTTGTCAAATGTAAGAGTAAAAGTGTCCTACTCTTGTACATTTGAAATTGGTAAGTTGTGATGTTTTGGATAAAACAAATACCAACTAAGGCCAATTGTGTGAAGTGTTTGTCTTGATAAAGAATCCGCACTATCTCTTGAATATTTGGCAAGATAGTCTTATATGTCAAGAGGATAGTGAGAGTCTTAAAGATCCTAAAAAGAATTTCAAGAACTAATCAAGAATAAAACCTGAGGTTCTTCACTAGCACACGACTTGAGGTTTATAACCTATCATGTTGACATATTCTGTGCCCATTCCAGTTAAAGTTGGCTTTGCATAGGAGTTCTGAAAGTTCTCAATTGGTTGCATAACAACTTGGAAGCAATGGCAGGCCCTGTACTGCCAGGTGGCAAGAAGTTAAGATTGCATAAGTTCAGTCCATATGAGTTTGGATTTGTCATTAT